AATCACAAGTTTACTGGATGTGGATATGGTGTAATAAAGGCAGTTTATTCAGAGGTAAATATATCTGGAATCGCGTTCACGGACCCGTTCGTCAAACTCTTAAAAATGAACTTGGGCTGGGAATTGCCAGGAACCTCACGATAAGATATATGCATCAGCATTGCGAGTCTCATGATTCTATACGTATTGCGATTCGATACTGTGATTTTATTGCGCACCATATGTCTGTTGCAGAGGGATCAGAAAGCCATGAGAACGAGTTTTGATCAGTCATGGAAATAAAAGTGCTGAAAACAAATTGGCTCCCAATGTGAAAAGATTGAGAACAAGCTATGAAGGAACAATAATGGTGTTTTGGTGCAGGTACAGCCAACTAGCGCTAAAATATTGCGATATTGTCAATACAGTATATCGTAAAGTATCACTATGTAACTCGATTTCTTTCACCCCAATCCCTCAAATTAACGGTAAATAACTGAATTGTTTGCCCCACATTTAGCTAAGATGATTAGCTAGCCAGCTAAAATGTTTTAGTTAGTTAGCAGTCGCATCTACAATAGTTTACTGTCAATAACATGTCTCCAAAAATGACGTGGTGTCTCCAATTGTGTTGACATTTTACAATTGCAATGCGCATCCATGAGTATCCACTTTCTGTAGCTCAGCTGGTAGAGCATGGTGCTTGTAACGCCAAGGTAGTGGGTTCGATCCCCGGGACCACCCATACACAAAAATGTATGCACGCATGACTGTAAGTCGCTTTGGATAAAAGCGTCTGCTAAATGGCATATTATTATTATTATTATTATTATTATTATTATTATTATCTGAAGAGAGCCCCGAAACATTGTGTGCAGACATTTTATGCAATAAATGAAGTAGGTTCAATCTAGTAGTTCTGATCTTCTGATTGGTCCTGATGAGTTGGGCGAGGTCCCCTGCAGGCTACTGTCACTGTTGCATTGGCTCTGAGTCGGGTTCTCTGTCTTCAAATGTTCAGCCTAAGAGAGGGGATTTTTGTGTGTGTGTGTGTGTGTGTGTTTAACAGTGATGATGTGTGTGTGTGTGTTTAACAGTGATGATGTGTGTGTGTGTGTGTGTTTGTGTGTGTGTGTGTCCTCAGAGCAAGAACTCGTGAGTTGGAAGAACTGAGAGGCCTATGGCGTGGGTGTTGTCCTTGGCCACCTGCTGACAAGGCTGACAAGATAGGACCCTTTTGTCCATTGTTATTGGATAGGAACAGAACTTATAACCAGCTCCTGACCTAAATAGATCTTAGCACAACATTTTACTCAACATATCATATTCCATATTCACTATAACAAATATATTTACTACGACATTAGCAAGAACCGCCACATCCTCAGCCGGCTAATCCAGTGTGTGAAGTTTTGCGGAGTGTTTGAGTTAGCTTTGCGAGGCAAAGATGAAACTGAGGGCTCCACCAACCCTGGTAAGCCAACACTTTTGAGATCAGTCAATAAATGCTTCTGGTATTGACTTATATGCTGCCCCTGTCTTCATGTTGTTGCTGGACATATCTTTTTTTAAATGTGTGTAGGTCACCTAAATCATCAGAAAAATTGCCCCTCCTGAGAATTTTGTCAGGAGCCGCCACTGGATACAGTGAATTAATGTCTGTAAACAATTGTTGGAAAAATTACTTGTGTCATACAAAGTAGATGTCCTGACCGACTTGCCAAAACTATAGTTTAACAAGAAATTTGTGGAGTGGTTGAAAAACAAGTTTTAATGACTCCAAACTAAGTGTATGTAAGCTTCCGACTTCAACGGTATGTATGTATGTATGTATGTATGTATTGCAGACGACACCTGTCTGATTCGCGCCCATCTCAGTGGACTAATACATTAGAGGCCGCAGGGATGGCACAGCCCAAGAAGGGGAGTGTGGCTAAAATGCACATCTCTCTTCAGAATGCGCTCTCTCCCGCCAATTTGTGCATATTCATGGTTTCTTTCATAACTTCATTGTGTGAATTGTTTGCGTTTGATTGTTATGGTAATTTCTGTTAATGCATCGAATATATTATTATTCCAGTATTTTATTGTTCTCATTGTCAGAGTAGACACGTTGTTTGCAGAGCACACAACCTATGCTTGTGTGAAACAAGTTTGGGTTTATTTCATTCCATTTATGAGTTGTCAATTTAGTAATCGTCTTTTGTTGGGAGCGCTCCTGTCAATGTTGAGTAAGTACAATATTTGATTACGCAAAGAAGTAGGCCTATAGGCTGCCTGGTCTGCACGCAACTGTAGGCATATAAAATGTGCCCATTTGAGGATCTGATAGCATTTCTGATTGGCTTAACGCACCACCAGTTATGAGCTGTGGAGCATCTCAAAGTAATGTTTTCACTTCAAACAGGAAGCAAACAAAATCAGTTTTTACATCCATTGAGAATGACAATAGTTAAATGTATTTGAAAAACCTTTCAGTCTCTCCCCCTTTCAATAACCACTCAGCATGAAAGGGAAAAATGTCATGCTCTGATCCAGTGGAAACGTCATAAAATAGGCCTACCTGATTCCTTGCGCAAATAGCCTACAGCTGTGTCTGTCCCGAGCTCACTGGCAGGATTAACTGAGGGCCCAGAATATTTTATACAATGTTGCAAGTTTGCTAGAGCAAGCTTTGGGCCTGACCCGAGTTAATAGTTGATACAATGTTTCAAGTGTGTTGCAGACAGGCCATGTGTAGCCAATGTGATTTATAGGATATTTATTTTTAAATCGGGATATTTTCCACCTGCAGGCTGCAATGTTTTTATTTGTTGGATTTATGAAGGCTAGTTGGCAATAGAAGTTCAACCTAAAAAGTATCATTTTAATTTAGATAGAATTTAGATTAACCACACGACAATGACTGAGATACGAAGACATTATTATAAATTAAATGAAAGTTCCACGAAAATGTGCATATAAAAACCATAACTGGAACGCAGATCGGTAGGAATTGTAAGATAAATTGGCATTCCACATGAAAAAGGTTGCCGACTCCTTGTGTAGCCTATTACTGGCAACTTCAGGAGAGTAACAGCAGAATCTGCGAAAGCCAGCAGGAGTGAGATGATGGTCGGATCAGGTTAAGATTTTTCATTTTCTGGTTATCTTGATCTCTGGCTCCCTCGAGTCATTTGTGTCATATTTCATCAAACAGTGAGCTTAAAGCATCAGACAAGCCCAATACATATAGTTGATTTTATTAAAACACATAGGATGTGACTATATGTAAAAATACACGTTTTAAAATGTCGACCAATCGATTGGTCTAAATAAGTTGTTTTTTGTCGGAGACAGCCCTAAAATATGTAAATACCACGGAAATCTTCTTACATTTGGTAACTTTACAGTCCTCTGCCTCAGTTGCCTATGTACACCAACAACTCATGTTAGCCAGAGCAAGATGAGCTAAAATCTAACGAGGGAACAGTAGATAAACCCTCAAACCGTTTTAGCTTGTAGTTGGCCGTCAAAATTGCACTGATAAACAAATGGGGAATAGTAGCCTGCTCGCCCTTCTACAGCTTGCCTGGCAATGCATGCTTGTCCCAACCCATGTTTTGACAACTGAATGGGAACTTGCCTGCCTGCCCTCCCATTTGATCGATGCCAAATACATTTGACTGACAACTTAGAGATATGCTAACTGTGGATAACAGTCATTCAAGTTCAGCATAGCTAGCTCGTGTTTTTAGCTTGCTAAATAAATAACTATATAAATATAATGAACAAAAATATAAAAACGCAACAATTGTAATGATTTTACTGAGTTTCAGTTCATATACAGGAAAAGTCAATTGAAATAAAGTCATTAGGCCCTAATCTATGGATTTCACATGACTGAGCAGGGGCGCAGCCATGGTTGGGCATAGGCCCACCCACTTGGGAGCCAGGCACACCCCACAAAAGGGCTTTATCACAGACTGAAATACTCCTCAGTTTCATTAGCTGTCCGAGTGGCTGGTCTCAGACAATCCCACAGATGAAGAAGCCAGATGTAGAGGTCCTGGGCTGGTGTGGTTACACATGGTCTGCAGTTGGACATACTGCCAAATTCTCTTAAACAACATTGGAGGCGGCTTATGGTAGAGAAATAAACGTTTGATTCTCTGGCAACAGCTCTGGTGGACTTTCCTGCAGTCAGCATGCCAATTGCACCCTCCCTCAAAACTTGAAGACATCTGTGTGACAACACTGAACATTTTAGAGTGGCCTTTTATTGTCCCCAGCACAAGGTGCACTTGTGTAATGATCATGCCGTTTAAATCAGATTCTTGATATGCCACACATGTCGGGTGAATGGATTATCTTGGCAAAGGAGAAATGCTCACTAACAAGGATGTAAACAAATTTGTGCACAAAATGTGACAGAAATATGGACATTTTCTGGGATCTTTAATTTCTGCTCCTTAAACATGGGACCAACACTTTACATGTTGCATTTTTGCACAGTATAGATAATTTAGCCTATTAGCCACTTTATGACTGACTTGTGGTCATGCCTCTTGCTAGTTTGATTGTATTGACATTCCCAGCCTTAGATACATTCGTCAGTTTTTGTCCAAAACATAGTCATTGCAACTGAAACAGTGTATCCCGAAGGGCTGGAGGCAGTAAACAGTGTACCAGGCCAGCTGTGATTCACAACCTGATAGCAATATTTGTTGGACTACCAAGAAAAGTATTGGTGAATTAACTATATTAATCATGCATTGAATATCCATCTATTCTGCCAACAATGCTTTACTCTACATCATGGAATTTTGAGTAAAATATAACCTATTTTTAAAACTTTATATAAAGTCGGTTTTGTAGCATAAACTATGAATTTGATATTTTTGACTGATATAATTGTCTGTTTCATAGCTGCAAAGTAATTAAAATGCTGTCAGTTCCACTTTAAGAGGAAAAAGTGAAAACTGACCTTAGAACTGGGTCTAGGTTTAATGTCACCCTAGTCCACGCCAAAAGGCCCTACCTCCTCTTAGAGCCATGATGTTCTTCAGGCCAAGGTGTTTGGCTTTGCTCAGGTACCCAGTGATCTTCTCTTTGGTCTGGTTGCAGCAGGTCAGGTGCAGGATGCTCTCCAGGCCACAGTAGTTGACCGCTGTGCTGGCGATCATCATAGAGGAGGTCTCCTTGTCCGAACCCGGGTCCCCCGCTGGATGCCAGGTTACGTCTATGAACAGGGGGCCCCCAGAGCCCATGCGATCAAATCTGAATGGGGATAAATGGGAGATAAATTTGCAGTGATACATTTCAAACTCAAAACTAAAGTGTTGAGTTACTAGAACAAGCCAACGCCAAAGTTTTAGCTACAGACCTAGAGATTAGGTTGACAGCTCCACTGGCAGTGCGAGGGGGGAAGAACTCGAGGGAAAACCAGTGGTCGCCCAACTCCGTCCGGCGGCGCATCTTGTCCCGTAGCCTGTCCGTGCGGTCGGTGTCCAACACGGGCGTTGAGGAGCGAGAGCTTTCCTTGGAACTCTCGCCACCGCTGTTGCTCGCGCCACTTGAGTCGCTTTTGCTGCATGTTCGCCAGGTGTCTTCGACTCGCTGCACTTGATTCACCATGCTGCTGCAGCCAAAAACAGTGTTTGAAGTTTGACTCCAAAACTATCACGAGTGGGCTTACACTGAAGTTCTCTCTTTCACACGGGCGAAAACATGTGAAACTGAAAGACCAGCATGTATCACTGTTAGCTAGCTAGCTACGTTACCCACTAAACAGAATAACGTTAAACAAAGCAGCTAACGTTACAAAGAGAAGGTTAGCTAGCTAGGTAGCTAACGTGAGCAATCATGCACAACATTCGGCAACAAATGCATAGCTAGCTAACTTACTTGTTTCTCTCAATTCTTCCACAAATTCTTCTGCAGGCGTATCTAGATATTCGCCCAGGCTCGCCTCCGTTATGTGAGCACTGAGCAACTACAACGTGTGACTGGTTTTATATCCCTGTCCTGAACCAGTATCTGGGCAGGGGGGGAGATAGCCGATTAAACGAAACTCCATGATTCACGATGGAGTTGAGCACCGACTAGTGCATGCGTACTGGACCTCCGAATGAAGTGTTTTATTTCAGCGCTCAAAGAATAGCCCAATTACACACGACATTGTTCTGTGTGCTATTCTTTGGGTGATGAAATCAGTAGTAAAAAAAAAAAAAGAAACATTTCATTTTATGTGAGGTCAGAGCTCCAGTCCGCTCACACTAGTTGTCGCCCAACTCCATCGTAAATCGTGGAGTTGAGTTTAGTCGGCTAAAAGGGGGAGACGATGAAAATGAAGAGATACACTTCCATCACACCGACAGTTCTTTGAAGTTGTGTTACACCAGAAGTCCATATATGTCCAATGGAATGCTGCGTTTGCCTTGCACTATTGCGTTGCAGTGCGTTATGTGTGGTGCTTTTGTTGGACACTATCCAGATGATGCTGCATATAATTTTGTGCAAAGACATTGTAGGTGTGATCGAGCCATTAGACAGCTCGAGCATTCATTTTCCATTAGACAACTCTGCAAGTGTTAATAATGTCAAAATATGTTCATTACTAACCAAATATAGAGTTTGGCTGAGCAAGTGTTTTTGTCCAAGTGCGCATGCGCCAAATCCACCTAATTACTGACACGCACAGGTTTTATTGTAATTATTTTATTTAACCTTTATTTAACTGGTAGGCTGATCCAGCAGCAGTATAGTCAAAAACAGCATGAAGATAGACAGAAACTGCTTCTGAAAACGTGACCGTTTCACTTTCACGAGGTTGGAGTAATGTTCAACTACTTAAGACAGTGGACAGTACACGACCCCGTCCATAGTTGCTTAGCTAAACTCCATATTTGGTGAGTAACGAACATATTTTGAAATTATAACCCTTGCCGAGCTGTTAATGTGAAAATGAAGGGTAGCTTATTGGGATAGAGAGGAGCCTCGTCATATTCATCGTCTCCTATGCCCAGATACTGAACTTTTCAAACATGCAAAGTATGAGAACCTTGATAATAGCCCAAATTTGTTTTTATTAGGAAGACCTGCAAGCAGGAAGAAATGGGCCAATGGCTCATGCTGAAATTCTGCCGTATTTGCCTGACTTACTGCTGCACATTTGTAATGTTTAATATTTAATTTGAGCTGTCTAATGTAGTATCAGAACTAATATGTTAGACAACTAAATGACCTGCTGTTTTGATACTTTTTGCGTACATTTATGAGGTAGAGCGGTGGGCATTCATGTTAGGATTCAGGTTCTCAGACAGTGTTCTTTACCAGGAGGAAGGTGGGATATGAGGTATGCTTGAGGTTATATGGGAGAAACTTGGAGAGGGTGGGGGTCTTCATGTTCCTTGGGGTATACTTTGACACTAGACTGACCTGGGCAGAACACATTGAGAGAGTGGTGGGAAAGTGTAAAAAGGTGCTAAATGTGTCTGACGGGGAAGGAGTGGGGGGCTGGGCGTTCCTCATTGAGGACCATGATCAGATCTGTAATAGACTATGGTAGTATAGTGTATGGTTCGGCAGCCTGGACCTTATTGGAAAGGCTAGATGACATACAGGGGCAAGGACTCAGAATATGTAGTGGGGTGTTTCGGACCTCCCCAGTGGCTGCATTACAGGTGGAGATAGGGGATATGCCATTGCAGATTAGAAGACCGCAGCTGGCAATTAATTATTGGGTTAACCTACAGGGACATCAGGGACAGGTGTCTCATCCTGTGAAAGGGATTTTACAGGCATGCTAGGAACATGAGCGAAGACAGAACACAAGCTTTGGGTGGCTGGGTAATACCCAGGCGAAGGAGCTGGGACTGTATGGAAGGAAGTTTAGTCCAACAGTAGTTATTCCTGTAAATACACCATGGCTACTCCTGCCTCCAGTAGTTGATCTAGAAGTGTTGGCGAGACTACAGAAAGATAGGGAGGGTGTTGATCCATCTGATTTTTTAAAGAGAAGTCTAGATACTGTGTATCAGGATTTTGTGGCCATTTACACAGATGGTTCAAACGATCCAAGGACAGGATTTACTGGGTCAGCATTTGTAGTGCAGGAATGTGGGGTGGCAGACAGGAAAATATATTACAGATCATCTGGCTGTATAAATGGCGGAGATGATGGCCATACTGTTGGCCTTGCAGTGGGTGGAGGAAATCAAGCCAGACAGAGTAGTGGGGATGTTGAAGTTGTAGTTTCAATGAGCAAGACAGAGGCAAAAAGACTGATATATACAGTGATGGTGCAGAGATGGCAGGAGCAGTGGAATAGAGATACTAAGAGCAGGCATTTATTTCAAGTACAGAGGAAAGTCGGGGAGGACGGCAGGAAGGGACAAAAGAGAGGAGGCTATTTTTACAAGATTAAGGGTGGGACACAGCTGGTTGAATAAGATCTTAAATGTGATAGGAAAGCATCCAACAGGAAAGTGTGATTATTGCAAGGAAACGGTGACTGTGGAGCATGTATTGCTGTAGCTTGGGAATTATCAGAGGGAAAGAGAGAGTCTGAGATCTAGTGTGAGGGAGAAGGGGATACAGGAAATTAGGTTAAAGAGTATATTGAGTAGAACGTCATTAGATATAGTCTCAAGTATTTTGTTATCTTTATTAAGAGCAACGGGGCTGGCAGGTAGAATTTAGTTTCTCCCTGTCTCTGGCTTACACTCCAGTACAGTAGGTGGCGGTAATGCTCTGTAACATTGGATGCCAACCGCCAATAAACCCCACCGAAGAACAAACCTCCCGTCTTTGTTCGTCACATGACATTGTGGGACGTGTGGTGCTGAAGAGGCAACAACGAAGATGGCATGCTGTGGGAATTGCCTATGTTGTCACTGCTGCTGCAGGGATGAAGAGACCCTCACACCCGAGGAACTGGTATGAGATAATTTGCATAATGTGTACAAATGCCTCAATTAGCAAAACATTTTGTGCGAGATTTCCAAAGAAAACTAAGCTTGTGTCCTGACTTCTTCATCCTGGCTAGAGAAAGCTCAACCCTCTTATGTTGTGATGTTCTCATACCCTAAAAATGTATGCACGCATGACTAAGTCGCTTTGGATAAACGCATCTGCTCAGTGGCATATATTATTATATAATAGACATTTCTCAATGCTAGTTTAACTAGCTAGCTAGCTTGCTAGCTATATTGTATGATAGCTAGATAAATAAAGACATATTGAGTTCGACTATGTTTGCTATATAGCTGTCGGAATAGCAATATGCTGAATAATTGTTTTGGGGAAATTTGAAATGAGTCAAACTAAACAACATGACAGCTAGCTAGCTGACAGTGGTTAGCAACTATGCTGACTAGTAGCCATTGGCACTACATTAGCTTGATGCTTAGCAAGCACGACCCATTCCATTTATCAAGAAACATTGCATGATCATGATGTTCATTGTTTAATAGAGGCCCTTGTCAAACACCCAATTGGACAGTTTGACAATGGAGCACTAGTTGTCTGAAGAAGTGTATGTTGAAAGAGAGCTAAAACATCTAGCTATTAATTCCCCTCAAACTATTCACAGCCTTGCATGATGACTCAGGAAGAAACCTCGGCAACAGCTTGCTCTTTTGTTGGGGGTATTAATTGTGTGGCATGTAGTACTATGTGTAGTAAGTGCCAGCTATCTTCTAATGATGACTGGAAAGCAGTATTGCAATAACTTTATTTGTCAGGCTGAGAGTCGTTTTGTGTTGTTTTTTTTATTCTTCATGCATAGGGCCGAATGTCAATGTCACATTCTTCAATCTTCTAATTTCCAGACTATTCTTGGGGAAACTCAAGATGAGGAGGATGAGATCCTTCCAAGGAAAGATTATGAGGTGAGAAAATCCCTTAGAAGCAGATGAACATCAAGATGTTGGCATAACTCATGTGAATGAAGAGCAAATGGACACACCCAAATAAGCATCAGTGTAGCTCTTGACTAGCTCGGTTGCCAGTCTGTTTCTGCTCTCTTGCCAACTCTTAATGGAATTGTCATGTCAATGTTTGGCTTGACAATGACAATGGAGTAGCCAAGAGCACAAACAGATCTGGAACCAGGCTAGCTCTTGACCACGTCTGTTGCCTGAGTACCATTGAAGTCTGTCTCGTTAGAAAAATATACTAGAGAATCTATACAATAAACACACTCTGACTCATCTCCAAATGGTTCTCTCTATCTTTTGGCAGAGCCTGGATTATGACAGGTGCATCAATGAACCATATGTTGAGGTTCTGGAGGGAATGAACAATAAGGTATACTAAGAAATGAACCGTTGCACTGTGGTATTGTTTAAGTGATAAATACATGTTTTAAGTTAGTTACAAAGTCGTTACTTAGTGATTAAAAAGCCTTTTTTTTTTTTTTTTGTTTATATACTTTTTTTAAATTTCCACAACCAGCATGTTACAATTGTGCTGAGTTTGTCTATATTTCCATTTATTCTAACATGGGTTCTCCTATCACATATTAGAAAGCCAAAAAGTATGAAGCTGTGAGGTGGATGCTGGTGTTTGCAATTGGAGTTTCAGTAGGCCTGGTAAGTGCCATCATTTTCTATCTTGCATGTAGAATCAGACATGCTGATTTTTGGTTAGCTTACATACCAGTAAGCAAAAAACAATGACGCTCTGTACATTCTATGGAAATAATATATGACGAAGGTATGGACGATGCCAAGTTCTACTGCCAAATGGCTGCATTCATCAGAAAATGCACATTAAACTCTTGACACCATTTTATTTTCTTTCAGGTGGGCCTTTTCGTGGACTTTTTCGTACGCCTCTTCACTCAGCTCAAATTCAACTTGGTGGGAAAATGTATCTTTTTTTTGAAGATGGAATATTTCACTCCAAAACTCAGATTGAACACAATATCTCAAATTGATAAAAAAAAAAAAACACTATCTCAAATTGATTATGTCTTTCTGATATTGAACACTGCAGGACACTTTTTTCTTATGGTGGTGATTATTTAGCATTCCTAAAGCCTTCATAAAGCCTTTATATGTATGACATAATAGTCATAATTCCCTAATCAACATATTAGTTAGTTTAGAGCAGTGAGGTGTTGTGTGGCAGACAGTGCTTTTCCTTAGTCAGTGTGTGCTAGCTGTGGAGGAGTGCAGTGAGAAAGGCTGCCTGGCTCTGTCGCTTTTCGAGCTGCTGGCCTTCAACATGACCTTCATCTTCATCGCCAGTGTGTTGGTCCTCATTGAGGCAAGGCCGCTCTACACAAATACCTAACATGTCCTAACATTATGTCCTTTCATGCTATTGTTATGCTATTACAGTCGACTCCTGATAAATGCAGTGACTTGGGACTGTTGTGATGGCGTGCACTAAACCAATGCATGCAGTTATCAGGAGCAATTTAAAAGGGACACCGCAAACTATATTGCACTTCAAAAGAGCTGGCACTTATCTGAAGTGCACTTGTCAGTAGTCTGGCTGTACTGCCTGCCCGTACTGACCATACCCTCATTTTCAGAAGTAATGTGCACGCTCATAATCCCTCTGACAATACGCTTTGACAGTTTATTTTCAAAACTGCTTTACATTTTATTTGCTTGTCTGGTGGTATCATATCAGAATTGTCCCAACTTCTACTGAACGTCCCTGTCCTGTGTCATTTAGCCTGTAGCTGCAGGCTCGGGAATCCCCGAGATCAAGAGCTACCTGAACGGAGTGAAGATACCCGGAATAGTCCGGCTACGGACTTTCCTCTGCAAGGCCATCGGAGTCCTCTTCACCGTAGCCGGAGGTACTACAACATAGATGGAACTGGGTCGTATTCACTAGGCACCGAACGGACTGAAACAGACTACCTGAACTTGTCCAATAGAATGGTTATTTTTCGTTTTCCGTTGCAAAACATTTTGCTACGGTGTGCACTAATGAATACGACCCTGACTTTCCAACAGATGCAAACATTATAGGATGAAACTAAAAGGAATCCGGTACCAAAGTGTCTGTTCCGCCTCTGACTAGGTGTTTGATCCCTCAGGTCTGTTTGTGGGGAAGGAGGGTCCAATGATCCACAGCGGAGCCATTGTGGGAGCCGGCCTACCTCAGTTTCAGAGCATCACTTTCAAGAAGATCAACTTTGACTTCCCTTACTTCCGCACTGACAGGTACAGTAGAACGCTCTACTAGTGTAAAGTGCTAATAGCGCAGTAGTTCATCATTATAAGTTAAATGTCTGTGCTTAATCTTCATTACAGGGACAAGCGGGACTTTGTGTCGGCGGGGGCGGCAGCTGGGGTGGCCGCTGCGTTTGGGGCGCCTATAGGGGGCACCCTCTTCAGCCTGGAGGAAGGCTCCTCTTTCTGGAACCAGGCACTCACCTGGAAAGTGGTAGGTCGACGGACACGCATACATACAGTACCAGTCGAAAGTTTGGACACACCTACTCATTCAAGGGTTTTTCTTTATTTTTACTATTTTCTACATTGTAGAATAACAGTGAAGACATCAAAACTATGAAATAACACACATGTAATCATGTAGTAACCAAAAAAAGATTAGATTCTTCAAAGTAGCCACCCTTTGCCTTGATGACAGCTTTGCACACTCTTGGCATTCTCTCAACCAGCTTCACCTGGAATGCTTTTCCAACAGTCTTGAAGGAGTTCCCACATATGCTGAGTACTTGTTGGCTGCTTTTCCTTCACTCTGCGGTCAAACTCATCCCAAACCATCTCAATTGGGTTGAGGTCAGGTGATTGTGGAGGCCAGGTCATCTGATGCAGCACTCCATCACTCTCCTTCTTGGTCAAAAGCCCTTACACAGCCTGGAGGTGTGTTGGGTCATTGTCCTGTCGAAAAACAAATGATAGTCCCACTAAGCACAAACCAGATGGGATGGCGTATCGCTGCAGAATGCTGTGGTAGCCATGCTGGTTAAGTGTGCCTTGAATTCTAAATAAATCACATACAGTGTCACCAGCAAAGCACCCCCACACCATCACACCTCCTCCTTCATGCTTCACGGTGGGAACCACACGTGGAGATCATCCGTTCACCTACTCTGCGTCTCACAAAGACACGGCGGTTGGAACCAAAAATCTCAAATTTGGACTCATCACACCAAAGGACAGATTTCCACCGGTCTAATGTCCATTGCTCGTGTTTCTTGGCCCAAGCATGTCTCCTCTTCTTATTGGTGTCCTTTAGTAGTGGTTTCTTTGCAGCAATTCGACCATGAAGTCCTGATTCACGCAGTCTCCTCTGAACAGTTGATGTTGAGATGTCTGTTACTTGAACTCTGTGAAGCATTTATTTGGGCTGCAATTTCTGAGACTGGTAACTCTAATGAACTTATCCTCTGCAGCAGAGGTAACTCTGGGTCTTCCTTTCCTGTGGCGGTCCTCATGAGCTTCAGTTTCATCATAGCGCTTGATGGTTTTTGCGACTGCACTTGAAGAAACTTTCAAAGTTCTATAAATGTTCCGGCTTGACTGACCTTCATGTCTTAAAGTAATGATGGACTGTTGTTTCTCTTTGCTTATTTGAGCTGTTCTCGCCATAATATGGACTTGATCTTTTACCAAATAGGGCTATATTCTGTATACCCCCCCTACCTTGTCCCAACACAACTAATTGGCCCAAAACACATTAAAAAGGAAAGAAATTCCACAAATTAACTTTTAACAAGGCACACCTGTTAATTTAAATGCACTCCAGGTATAATAAATATCAGAAACTTTGAACATCCCACGGAGCACCATTAAATCCATTATTAAAATATGGAAAGAATATGGCACCACAACAAACCTGCCAAGAGAGGGCCACCCACCAAAACTCACAGACCAGGCAAGGGGGGCATTAATCAGAGAGGCAACAAAGAGACCAAAGATAACCCTGAAGGAGCTGCAAAGCTCCGCAGCGGAGATTTAAGTATCTGGCCATAGGACCACTTTAAGCCGTACACTCCACAGAGCTGGGCTTTATGGAAGAGTGGCCAGAAAAAAGCATTTGCTTAAAGAATAAAATAAGCAAACACGTTTGGTGTTCGTCAAAAGGCATGTGGGAGACTCCCCAAACATATGGAAGAAGTTACTCTGGTCAGATGAGACTAAAATTGAGCTTTTTGGCCATCAAGGAAAACGCTATGTCTGGCGCAAACCCAACACCTCTCATCACCCCGAGAACACCATCCCCACAGTGAAGCCTGGTGGTGGCAGCATCATGCTGTGGGGCTGTTTTTCATCGGCAGGGACTGGGAAACTGATCAGAATTGAAGAAATTATGGATGGCACTAAATACAGGGAAATTCTTGAGTCTTCCAGAGATTTGAGACTGGGACGGCGTTCACCTTCCAGCAGGACAATGACCCTAAGCATACTGCTAAATTAACACTTGAGTGGTTAAAGGGGAAACAGTTAAATGTCTTGGAATGTTCTTGTCAAAGCCCAGACCTCAATCCAATTGAGAATCTGTGGTATGACTTAAAGATTGTTGTACACCAGCGGAACCCATCCAACTTGAAGGAGCTGGAGCAGGTTTCCCTTGAAGAATGTGCAAAAATCCCAGTGGCTAGATGTGCCAAGCTTATAGAGACATACACCAAGAGACTTGCAGCTGTAATTGCTGCAAAAGGTAGCTCTACAAAGTATTGACTTTGTGGGGGTGAATACTTATGCACGCTCAAGTTCTGTTTTTCTGTCTTATTTCTTGTTTGTTTCACCCCAAAAAATATTTAGCATCTTCAAAGTGGTAGGCATTTTGTGTAAATCAAATGATACAACCCCCCCCCCCCAAAAAAAAAAATATATTTTAATTCCAGGTTGTAAGGCAACAAAATAGGAAAAAGGCCAAGGGGGGTGATACTTTCGCAAGCCACTGAGATCATGTGACAGATCATGTGACACTTAGATTGCACACATGTGGACTTTATTTAACTAATTATGTGACTTCTGAAGGTAATTGGTCGTACCAGATCTTATTTAGGGGCTTCATAGCAAAGGGGGTGAAAACATATGCACTCAACACTTTTCTGTTATTTATTTTTTAGAATTTTTGAAACAAGTTATTTTTTTGATTTCACTAAAACAATTTTGACTATTTTGTGTATGTCCATTACCTGAAATCCAAATAAAAATCAATTTAAATTTCAGGTTGTAATGCAACAAAATAGGAAAATCGCCAAGTGGGATGAATACTTTTGCAAGGCACTGTATGTGTTATTTCATTGTTTTTATGTCTTCACTATTATTCTACAATGTAGAAAATAGTAAAAATAAAGAAAAACCCTTGAATGAGTAGGTGTGTCCAAACTTTTGACTGGTACTGTACATACAGTACCGTTCAAAAGTATACATTAGAATGTCTAGTTTGAGAAACGGGCGCCTCACAGGTCCTCAATTGGCAGCTTCATTAAATAGTACCTGCAAAACACCAGTCTCAACGTCAACAGTGAAGAGGCGACTCCGGGATGCTGACCTTCTAGGCAGAGTTGCAAAGAAAAAGCAATTTCTCAGACTGGCCAATCAAAATAAAAGATTAAGATGGGCAGTCTGAGAAATTGCTTTTTCTTTGCAACTCTGCCTAGAAGGTCAGCATCCCGGAGTCGCCTCTTCACTGTTGACGTTCAGACTGGTGTTTTGCGGGTACTATTTAATGAAGCTGCCAGTTGAGGACCTGTGAGGCGCCTGTTTCTCAAACTAGACACGCTATTGTATTTGACCTCTTGCTTAGTGGTTGCACCGGGGTCTCCCACTCCTCTTTCTATTCTGGTTAGAGCCAGTTTGCGCTGTTCTGTGAAGGGAGTAGTACACAGCGTTGTACGAGATCTTCAGTTTCCTGGCAATTTCTCGCATGGAATAGCCTTCATTTCTCAGAACAAGAAGAGCCTGTAATCGAACCCACAATTGCTGATGCTGCAGATACTCAAGTAGTCTCAAGAAGGCCCGTTTTATTGCTTCTTTAATCAGCACAACAGTTTTCAGCTGTGCTAACATAATTGCAAAAGGGTTTTCTAATGATCAATTAGCCTTTTTAAAATGATAAACTTGGATTAGCAAAAACAATGTGCCATTTGAACACAGGACTGATGGTTGCTGATAATGGGCCTCTGTACGCCTATGTAGATATTCCATTACAAATCAGCCGTTTCCAGCTACAATAGCCATTTACAACATTAACAATGTCTACACTGTATTTCTGATCAATAAAGATGTTATTTTAATAGACCAAAAAATTAATTTTCTATCGAAAACAAGGGCATTTCTAAGTGACCCCAAACTTTTGAACGGTAGTGTATGTGTACACACACAGGCTATTCTTCTGTCAGTTTAAGTCATTGTAAGTCAGTTGCTGCTCTGAGGTACCCCTCTCTTCCTCGGTCTCCCTCCCCTCAGCTCTTCTGCTCCATGTCGGCTACGTTCACCCTTAACTTCTTTCGCTCTGGGATCAACTACAACAAATGGGGTTCGTTCCAGCTACCCGGCCTGCTCAACTTTGGAGAGTTCAAGGTACAAGCACTCATTCACATGCACAGACATTGCTTGTTCATGTTTTGGAGGTGTGAGTATATTATGTGGGTCATGTGAAATCCATAGATTAGGGCCTAGTGAATTTATTTCCTTATATGAACTGTAAATCTTAGAAATTGTTGCATGTTGCGTTTTATATATTTATATATATACAGTGCATTCGTAAAGTATTCAGACCCCTTCACTTTTTCCACATTTTGTTACGTTACAGCCTTATTCAAAAATCAATCTACACCCATAATGACAAAGCAAAAACAGGTTTTTAGAAATGTCTGCAAATGTATAAAAAAAAAAAAACGGAAATATCACATTTACATAATTATTCAGACACTTTACTCAGTACTTTGTTGAAGCACCTTTGGCAGCGATTACAGCAGGGGTGTCAAACTCATTTTAGCTCAGGGGCCACATGGAGGAAAATCTATTCCCAAGTGGGCCGGACCGGAAAAATCATGGTATATATATAACTTAAAAACAACAACTTCAGATTGTTTTCTTTGTTTTAATACGATCAACATACAACATAAAGCTGGAGCCTGAGGACAGTGTGTCCAAAATAGTACAAGCACAACATCACTATTAATCATAAAACACGTCAAGTTTATTTGAAAATTCTAAAGAAAAAGAACACACAAACACACAATGCCTCAGTGATTAACAGAACTGTTTCACAGATCACAGAACTATATCAGGGTGTCATTTCTCAGGCAGAAATGTAGATACAAATAATGAAATCCTGTTCCCCAAACAAGTGCAAGAACCACAGAGTCAAGAATAGGTTAAATATACAAATAAAATAAAAACAATTAAAAACAATAGCACATCAACATAAAAACATGTAAACATAAATCTGAAAGTGTTGCTCAAACTCCCGTAACAGTCCTGTTATTTTATCTTTGAACCGCTTCATGTCTGCCACATGTTGGGTCGCGCACACATTTTTCAGACAGGGGAAGTGAGCTGCATCACCACCGGCAAGTTGCGTCTCCCACAATGACAGCTTCAACTTGAAAGAACGTATGCTGTCATAATACTGCGTGACAACTTTGTTGCGCCCTTGCAGCTGTTTGTTCAAGTTATTCAGGTGCTCTGTAACATCACATAACCCTTGTTACATCAAAATCTCAAGTGCTTACGAAACCCGCCTAAAGCACAGGTATGCAGGTTGAATCAGGTGGCGAAAACTCCTAGAAAAAACCTTAACATCATAAATCAACTGGTGCGAATGCCATGGTTTGCCCTTTTCTTCCATGACTGTTTCAATTTCTTCTCGGTAAATCAAAGAAGAAGAAACGCCTCAGACACGCCACTCGGCTTAACCATCTTACCTCAGTGTGGTATGGCAACCAGGCCATAGATGTGGTCTTTTCTCTCTGAGTATGGCTGTCAAACTGACGGTGATTCAGAGGCTCTGGATCGGATGAAAACATTAACAGTTTGGATGACCCACCCCTTCATGACGTTATCCATCTTAAAATGCCTTGCCACACAAAGGCCCTCCTGGTGCAAAATACATGTGAAAAGTCAAAAAATCACGTCCTCTCCATTGCCAGATTGCACTTTCTCTCTGAACTTTGTCACAACGCCTGCTTTTTTTCCCGATCATTGAGGGCGCACCATCTGTAGCCAGGCTGACAGCGCGGGACCAGTCCACTCCGACCCTGTCCAGCGCGCCGACGAGTGCAGTAAAAATATCAGCTGCTGTCGTTGTATCTGTCATCGGCACCAACTCCACGAACTCCTCGGTGACGGTCAATGTGTCATCAACTCCGCGGATGAAAATGGCCAGTTGTGCAACATCTGTAATGTCCGTGCTTTCATCAATTGCAACCGAAAACGCAATAAATGACTTTACTTTTTGCTTCAACTGGCTGTCCAAATCCACTGAAAGATCGGAAATCCTGTCTGCAACTGTGTTTCTTGTCAGGCTGGTATTTGCAAAAGCCTGCCGCTTTTCAGGGCACACAATCTCCGCTGCCTTCATCATGCATGTTTTTACAAATTCACCCTCACTAAATGGTTTTGAAGCCACTGCGATTTCATTAGCAATGAGGTAGCTAGCTTTCACTGCAGCGTCACTGATGTCTCGGCTGTGAGTAAACACAGACTGCTGTTTCTTCAGACCCGCCAACAGTTCATTCACCTTCTCTCATCTCCGCTGTCCTTGAAAGTTGTCATATTTGTCGGCATGAAGACTCACATAGTGGCGACGAAGGTTATATTCTTTCAGCACTGCAACATGCTCTGAACACACCAAACATACAGCTTTCCCATTCAATTCCGTGAATAAATAGGATGACCATTTTTCTTGGAACACTCTGCACTCTGCGTCCACTTTTCTCTTTTTTGACAGAGACATATTGGGGCAATGAGGGTGCCAAAGCACATAATGTTAAAAGTAGAAGCCGTAATAAATATCGCGGGCAAAACAAAGTAGCTCATTGGCTGCACGTGCTTGACCTACTTGCTCTGCCCCGGTATAAACAGTTTGCTTGCTTAACACAATTGCTATTGCGCCATCCAGTGGACGCAATTGGAACAGCAGTTTATTTTATTGAAAAATTGCAGCGCATTTTTATACTCTACAAAAAGAAATTTTATTTATTTTTATTTTTATTTATTTTTTCAAAATCATCTCGCGGGCCGGATTAAACCCGTTTGCGGGCCTGATCCGGCCCGCGTGCCGGACGTTTGACACCCCTGGATTACAGCCTTGAGTCTTCTTTGGTATGACACTACAAGCTTGGCACCTGTATTTGGGGAGTTTCTCCCATTCTTCTCGGCAGATCCCCTCAATCTGTCAGGTTGGATGGGGAGGGTCGCTACACAACTATTTTCAGGTCTCTCCAGAGATGTTCGATTGGGTTCAAGTCCGGGCTCTGGCTAGGCCACTCAAGGACAATCAGAGACTTGTCCCGAAGCCACTCCAGCATTGTCTTGGCTGTGTGTTTAGGGTCGTTGTCCTGTTAGAAGGATAACTTTTCGACCCCCAGTCTGAGGTCCTGAGAGCTCTGAAGCAGGTTTTCATCAAGGATCTCTGTGTACTTTGCTCCGTTCATCTTTCCCTCGATCCTGAGTAGTCTCCCAGTCCCTGCCACTGAAAAACATCCCCACAGCATGATGCTGCCACCACCATTCTTCACCGTAGGGATGGTGCCAGGTTTCCTCCAGACGTGACACTTGGCATTCAGGCCAAAGAGCTCAATCATGGTTTCATCAGACCAGAGAATCTTGTTTCTCATGGTCTGAGAGTCCTTTAGGTGCCTTTTGGCAAACTCCAAGCGGGCTGTCATCTGCCTTTTACTGAGGAGTGGCTTCCGTCTGGCCACTCTACCATAAAGGCCTGATTTGTGGAGTGCTGTAGAGATGGGTGTCCTCCTGGAAGGTTCTCCCATCTCCACAGAGGAACTCTGGAGCTCTCTCAGAGTGATCATCGGGTTCTTGGTCACCTCCCTGACCAAGGGCCTTCTCCCTCGATTGCTCAGTTTGGCCGGGCGGCCAGCTCTAGGAAGAGTCTTGGTGGTTCCAAACGTTTTCCATTTAAGAATGATGGAGGCCACTTGGTGACCTTTAATGCTGAATAATTTTTTTGGTACCCTTCCCCAGATCTGTGCCTGGACACAATCCTGTCTCGGAACTCTACGGACAATTCCTTGGACCTCATGGCTTGGTTTTTGCTCTGACATGCACTGTCAACTGTGGGACCTTATATAGACAGGTGTGTGCCTTTCCAGATCATGTCCAATCAATTGCATTTACCACAGGTGGACTACAGTGAAGTTGTAGAAACATCTCAAGGATGATAAATGGAAACAGGATGCACCTGAGCTCAATTTTGAGTCTCATAGGAAATGGTCTGAATAATTACGTAAATAAGGTATTTCTGTTTTTGCATTGTCATTATGGTTATTGTGTGTAGATTGATGAAGAAAAAATGTAATTGAATCCATTTTAGAATAAGGCTGTAACCTAACAAGATGTGGAATAAGGGAAGGACCCTGAATACTTTCCGAAATTCAATTGATTGGACATGATTTGGAAAGGCACACATCTGTCTATATAAGGTCCCACAGTTGACAGTGCCAGTCAAACGTTTGGACACACCTACTCATTCCAGGGTTTTTCTTTCTTTCTTTTTTACTATTTTCTACATTGTAGAATAATAGTGAAGACATCAAAACTATGAAATAACACATATGGAATCATGTAGTAACCAAAAAAGTGTTAAACAAATCCAAATATCTTTTTATATTTGAGATTCTTCAAAATAGCCACTGTTTGCCTTGATGACAGCTTTGCACACTCTTGGCATTCTCTCAACCAGCTTCACCTGGAATGCTTTTCCAACAGTTTTGAAGGAGTTCCCACATATGCTGAGCACTTGTTGGCTGCTTTTCCTTCACTCTGCGGTCCAACTCATCCCAAACCATCTCAATTGGGTTGAGGTTGGGTGATTGTGGAGGCCAGGTCATCTGATGCAGCACTCATCACTCTCCTTCTTGGTCAAATAGCCCTTACACAGCCTGGAGGTTTGTTGGGTCATTGTCCTGTTGAAAAACAAATGATGGTCCCATTAAGCACATGTATGGGTGGTCCCGGGGATCGAACCCACTACCCTGGCGTTACAAGCGCCAATTGAGCTACAGAGGCACTCTGTGAAGCATTTATTTGGCCTGCAATTCCTGAGGCTGGTAACTCTAATGAACTTATCCTCTGCAGCAGAGGTAACTCTGGGTCTTCCTTTCCTGTGGCGGTCCTCATGAGAGCCAGTTTCATCATAGCGCTTGATGGTTTTTGCGACTGCACTTGAAGAAACGTTCAAAGTTCTTGACATTTTACGGATTGACTGACCTTCATGTCTTAAAGTAATGATGGACTGTTGTTTCTCTTTGCTTATTTGAGCTGTTCTTGCCATAATATGGACTTGGTCTTTTACCCAATAGGGCTATCTTCTGTATACCACCCCTACCTTGTCACAACACAACTGATTGAGAGTATGCCAAGAGTGTGCTTAGCTGTCATCAAGGCAAAGGGTGGCTACTTTGAAGAGTCTCAAATATAAAATATATTTGGATTTGTTTAACACTGTTTTGGTTACTACATGATTCCATATGTGTTATTTCATAGTTTTGATGTCTTCACTATTATTCTACAATGTAGAAAATAGTCAAAATAAAGAAAAACCCTGGAATTAATAGGTGTGTCCAAACTTTTGACTGGTACTGTGTGTATGTATATGTGTATATGTATATAATATATATACAGTGGGGAGAACAAGTATTTGATACACTGCCGATTTTGCAGGTTTTCCTACTTACAAAGCATGTAGAGGTCTGTCATTTTTATCATAGGTACACTTCAACTGTGAGAGACGGAATCTAAAACAAAAATCCAGAAAATCACATTGTATGATTTTTAAATAATTAATTTGCATTTTATTGCATGACATAAGTATTTGATCACCTACCAACCAGTAAGAATTCCGGCTCTCACAGACCTGTTAGTTTTTCTTTAAGAAGCACTCCTGTTCTCCACTCATTACCTGTATTAACTGCACCTGTTTGAACTCGTTACCTGTATAAAAGACACATGTCCACACACTCAATCAAACTGACTCCAACCTCTCCACAATGGCCAAGACCAAAGAGCTGTGTAAAATTGTAGACCTGCACAAGGCTGGGATGGGCTACAGGACAATAGGCAAGCAGCTTGGTGAGAAGGCAACAACAGTTGGCGCAATTATTAGAAAATGGAAGAAGTTCAAGATGACGGTCAATCACCCTCGGTCTGGGGCTCCATGCAAGATCTCACCTCGTGGGGCATCAATGATCATGAGGAAGGTGAGGGATCAGCCCAGAACTACACGGCAGGACCTGGTCAATGACCTGAAGAGAGCTTGGGACCACAGTCTCAAAGAAAACCATTAGTAACACACTACGCCGTCATGGATTAAAATCCTGCAGCGCACGCAAGGTCCCCCTGCTCAAGCCAGCGCATGTCCAGGCCCGACTGAAGTTTGCCAATGACCATCTGGATGATCCAGAGGAGGAATGGGAGAAGGTCATGTGGTCTGATGAGACAAAAATAGAGCTTTTTGGTCTAAACTCCACTCGCCGTGTTTGGAGGAAGAAGAAGGATGAGTACAACCCCAAGAACACCATCCCAACCATGAAGCATGGAGGTGGAAACATCATTCTTTGGGGATGCTTTTCTGCTAAGGGAACAGGACAACTGCACCGTATTGAGGGGAGGATGGATGGGGCCATGTATCGCGAGATCTTGGCCAACAACCCCCTTCCCTCAGTAAGAGCATTGAAGATGGGTCGTGGCTGGGTCTTCCAGCATGACAACGACCCGAATCACACAGCCAGGACAACTAAGGAGTGGCTCCGTAAGAAGCATCTCAAGGTCATGGAGTGGCCTAGCCAGTCTCCAGACCTGAACCCAATAGAAAATCTTTGGAGGGAGCTGAAAGTCTGTATTGCCCAGCGACAGCCCCGAAACCTGAAAGATCTGGAGAAGGTCTGTATGGAGGAGTGGGCCAAAATCTCTGCTGCAGTGTGTGCAAACCTGGTCAAGACCTACAGGAAACGCATGATCTCTGTAATTGCAAACAAAGGTTTCTGTACCAAATATTAAGTTCTGCTTTTCTGATGTATCAAATACTTATGTCATGCAATAAAATGTAAATTAATTACTTAAAAATCCTACAATGTGATTTTCTGGATTTTTGTTTTAGACCTCTACATGCTTTGTAAGTAGGAAAACCTGCAAAATCGGCAGTGTATCAAATACTTGTTCTCCCCACTGTGTGTGTATATATATATATATATACACACACACACACACACACACAGTGGGGAAAAAAAGTATTTAGTCAGCCACCAATTGTGCAAGTTCTCCCACTTAAAAATATGAGAGAGGCCTGTAATTTTCATCATAGGTACACGTCAACTATGACAGACAAAATGAGAAAAAAAAATCCTGAAAATCACATTGTAGGATTTTTAATGAATTGATTTGCAAATTATGGTGGAAAATAAGTATTTGGTCAATAACAAAAGTTTCTCAATACTTTGTTATATACCCTTTGTTGGCAATGACACAGGTCAAACGTTTTCTGTAAGTCTTCACAAGGTTTTCACACACTGTTGCTGTTATTTTGGCCCATTCCTCCATGCAGATCTCCTCTAGAGCAGTGATGTTTTGGGGCTGTCGCTGGGCAACACGGACTTTCAACTCCCTCCAAAGATTTTCTATGGGGTTGAGACTGGAGACTGGCTAGGCCACTCCAGGACCTTGAAATGCTTCTTACGAAGCCACTCCTTTGTTGCCTGGGCGGTGTGTTTGGGATCATTGTCATGCTGAAAGACCCAGCCACGTTTCATCTTCAATGCCCTTGCTGATGGAAGGAGGTTTTCACTCAAAATCTCACGATACATGGCCCCATTCATTCTTTCCTTTACACGGATCAGTCGTCCTGGTCCCTTTGCAGAAAAACAGCCCCAAAGCATGATGTTTCCACCCCCATGCTTCACAGTAGGTATGGTGTTCTTTGGATGCAACTCAGCATTCTTTGTCCTCCAAACACGACGAGTTGAGTTTTTACCAAAAAGTTATATTTTGGTTTCATCTGACCATATGACATTCTCCCAATCCTCTTCTGGATCATCCAAATGCACTCTAGCAAACTTCAGACGGGCCTGGACATGTACTGGCTTAAGCAGGGGGACACGTCTGCCACTGCAGGATTTGAGTCCCTGGCGGCGTAGTGTGTTACTGATGGTAGGCTTTGTGACTTTGGTCCCAGCTCTCTGCAGGTCATTCACTAGGTCCCCCCGTGTGGTTCTGGGATTTTTGCTCACCGTTCTTGTGATCATTTTGACCCCACGGGGTGAGATCTTGCGTGGAGCCCCAGATCGAGGGAGATTATCAGTGGTCTTGTATGTCTTCCATTTCCTAATAATTGCTCCCACAGTTGATTTCTTCAAACCAAGCTGCTTACCTATTGCAGATTCAGTCTTCCCAGCCTGGTGCAGGTCTACCATTTTGTTTCTGGTGTCCTTTGACAGCTCTTTGGTCTTGGCCATAGTGGAGTTTGGAGTGTGACTGTTTGAGGTTGTGGACAGGTGTCTTTTATACTGATAACAAGTTCAAACAGGTGCCATTAATACAGGTAACGAGTGGAGGACAGAGGAGCCTCTTAAAGAAGAAGTTACAGGTCTGTGAGAGCCAGAAATCTTGCTTGTTTGTAGGTGACCAAATACTTATTTTCCACCATAATTTGCAAATAAATTCATTAAAAATCCTACAATGTGATTATCCGGATTTTTTTTCCTCAATTTGTCTGTCATAGTTGACGTGTACCTATGATGAAAATTACAGGCCTCTCTCATCTTTTTTAAGTGGGAGAACTTGCACAATTGGTGGCTGACTAAATGCTTTTTTTCCCCACTGTATACTACCAGTCAAAAGTTTGACACACATACTCATTCAAGGGATGTAGGCCTAGTGGTAAAAATAATTGGTGGTCTCAGTGAAAAAAGTAATTCTCCCTAAACCTTCTTTGTGTTTTCTCCAGAAGGTGCGTAAACTGTCATGCAAAAAATAAAATATTTGCATTTACCTTCCACTACAACACTGTCAAATTGATTGGATACGGGAGCTTAATGTTTATGACAGTTTGCGATGGAACGCATGAAAAAAAAGCATGTAGCGTACTTTCAGAATTGCTTGCCAAGCTACTCATAGGTAGGCTGTGAGCTACTGGTAGCTCATGATCTACCTTTTGGATACCCCTTGTGTAGGTGAAGGGGAGGAAACAGGTTAAAGAAGGATTTTAAAACCTTGAGACAATTGAGACATGGATTGTGTATGTGTGCAATGCAGAGGGTGAATGGGCAAGACAAAATATTGAAGTGCCTTTGAACAGGGTATGGTAGTGGGTGCCAGGCGCACCGGAGTGTGTCAAGAACTGCAACACTGCTGGGCTTTTCACATTTAACAGTTTCCTGTGTGTATCAACAATGGTCCACCACCCAAAGGACATCTAGCCAACTTGACACAACTGTGGGAAGCATTGGAGTCAACATGGGCCACCATCCCTGGTGAATGCTTTCGACACCTTGTAGAGTCCATTCCCCAATGAATTAAGGCTTTTCTGAGGGCAAAAGGGGGTGCATCTCAATATTAGGAAGGTGTTCCTTATGTTTTATATTTAACTGTGATGTCTTACGAGGGTCTTGAACCTCTGTATTTGTACCAGTTCTACCAAGATTGCCCTAAAAATAAATACTTTACCTAAGTGTATAGTCATTTTTCCCATTGATTGATTGTGCTTTTTCAGTACTGTTTGTAGGTCCATCTGAACACAGACATTATAACTTAACAACCACTACTGGACCTGGCTCCAAAAGCGAACCAGCAAAGGACAGTACCAAAAAATATGATCTATTGAGAACGGATTGATGTGTCAATTGTTGTTTTGTATGTCCGTGCATAAACCCGATGCCATGGTATTGGGACACAAAAAATCTGTTCCCAACTATCTTGAATTTTATGCGGCATAGTTGTCAAACCTCTCAACCTTTTTTACGATTTATAGTAGTCATTTTAAGCCAGGCATGGTTTTTCATTGGAGGCAGACAAACCAATTCATTCCTTTCTCTTTTGAGTAATTGCCTCTTCCATTTTTGTGGCAGAGCTATGATTTGGGTATAGTGTTTTGTATGTGGTTCTGTGTGTACATATGATGATATAGTGACTTGAGTTCTACACCTCTGTGTGTCCATCCCTCTCCCACAGTGTTCAGATGGGGAGAAGAAGTGCCACCTGTGGACGGTGGTGGACCTGGCCTTCTTTGTCCTGATGGGGGTGGTGGGAGGGCTGTTGGGGGCCTTCTTCAACTACATCAACACGAGGCTGGCCAAGTACCGCATGAGACACGTCCACCCCAAGGCCAAGTTTGTCAGGTAACTGCTGGGAAACACACCGTAACATACAAAGGCATGAGCATGAACACACACCTTTATGCTTCTATGTCGTTGTAGTGTTAGTTGCTGCAGCTTTTTGAAAATGTTTGTTCCAAATTATTAATATATGAAACGTGTATATATGTAATGTAATGCAGTCTTCTACTTTTTAGCCTAATTATCAAATAAATTAAATCAATCAACCTTCCCATCTGAGTGGAAAGGCATTTTTTCTCAAAAAGGTTGTCATTTGTTTTACATCTCTTATTCCTCCTCTACTCCCTCTCTAGGGTCCTGGAGAGTCTGCTGGTCGCCATGGTAACGACGGTGGTGATATTCGTGGCGTCCATGACAATGGGCGAATGTCGTGACTTGGCCTCCCCCACAACCAACAACAACAGTACAGCGCTGGTACGTTTGGTAGAGCTCAACTTCATAAAAAAAGTGAAGCATATAAAAAACAAGTTAAGAACAGCCATAAAACGATGTCATAATTATCCTAAAACAAGCACTGAAAGCATATTGAAACATAGCAAGATCATAAAACAATCTATAATCATACAAAAATAATCTTTAAAAAGTTTGCCTTGTGTGTTTTCTATTGTGTCTCTGACATCTTTCGGCAGACTAGTCGCCTGAGTTGAATGACTTGAAATGGCATTGATCCCAACCCTGCTAACAAGGGGGGCGATTCAGGAGGATGCAACAGTTAAGAATTTTCAGAAAGTAGTGCGTTGTATAAAACCAATATGATTGTCTGTCATGTAGAATAGAGAATCCAGTCAGCTCGGTTCATTACATTTCTTTATGCAACGTCACTGAACATACCCCAGTTTCAACATTTCACTTAATTGAACATACCCCAGTTCCACTGCTCAGTTTGTTGAGCTGTGTAGCAACTTGCTCAGTGTAAATGAACCAATTCATCTGGCAGAACACACTCCCACTCCAGTATTACACATTCACTGTGTTAATATTTCATGTTTCAATGCTTTGGCTGTGATCTTTGGTATAGAAAACACCTCTATTCCAAACCAGTCTCTTCAGGCCTCTATTCTAGTGTACACTCAAGTATTTTGCATTTTTAATGAGCCCACACTGGACAGACATCATTTTACAGTGCTTACATGTAAGAATAGATAGAAACATACTCACATTCAATGGCTTTTAGCCATAAAGACCGAAGGATGGAAATGTGTCTTAATAACTCACACTTATGAGCTTAGGGGTAAATACTAACTTAAATTGAAGTTAGGAATCAACTTCTGTCAGACTAGAGTCGTACTTTTTTTTTTTGCACGTCTCCTGCACGTGCAGCTTGATCTGTAATGATAATGGCCATGTTAGGTCATTGTTGTAATATGGATATGGTGTTTTTTTAGGTGTCACTCAACGAAGACGTCATCAACTCCACCATCCGCCAGTTCCTTCTGTCCCAACAAGACGTACAACGACATGGCCACTCTGTTCTTCAACTCTCAAGAGGTGGCCATCCACCAACTTTTCCACCAGGACGGTGAGACAGGACCTGACCTAGGATCAGTTTGACATTTTAGATCAGGGTTTCCCAATAGGCGGCCCGCGGGCCAAATTCGTCCCACCGCTGAATGTAATTGGGGACCCCTGTTTTAGATCATAATGAATGAGATTATGGACAGGCTCCCACCTGATCTGAAGGGCAAAACTTATCCATCTCTTGTACTAAACAGCATGCATTTTTCAGAAACTGCGTTTACTTGCGTTTACCCTCCATTAGGCCTACAGTGCCGGTAGCTTACCCTCTCAGCCGAGGCAATTTTACACACATGAACATGCAGAACAGGTAACCTACATTCAATATAATAGGCCTACATGAGTTGAATCAAAACATGTTTATGCCTTAGTTAATGAGTTGTCCATAATTAATGAGACGAATGCTTGGAATCTTCACATATATTGACGTAAAACTCTACCTTTCTTTCCTTACATTAATTACATTTATGACCGTGTTATTATTATTATTACCGTGTCATTATTAAGCATTTAACAATTGAATTAGAACATTGAACTTAAACCCTGTGTGAATCCTGGATCTTGGAGATCTCGGAAGGTGCACTGTAAGTTTAACCATGCCTACGTAACAGTTCATTATGTTTCGCCATCAAAACATTTCGCATGGGCACACAAATCAAAAATAATGTAGGCCTATGACATTGCAAAATCGAATGCTTCTAACCGAAGGTAAACTATAGGCCTACTGTCATTAATATATACTTGTTGGATGGATTGGATGTGCATTGGTGTCTAGCTGTAGGCTAGTTGTCTTGTGATATTGTCGACCATCAGCAGCTGATCCTGGAAAGAAAGCAAATATTGATAGAAAATAATAAAGATAAATGGTCTACTTCTTCTTGCCCCGGATGGCACGGAGAACACCAATACCTGAAAAACAAAGCAATGAGCGCTCTAAACAGCTGACTGACAAAAGCAAACAATAATACATCAACGGATAAATAGAATGCATTGGAATAAAGGCTATTTTTATGAAGGATTCATAGCAAACAAATGGCAAAAATGAGGAAGTACCAAGGAAAATCTAGGCGTTTTAAAGGAGCTCAGCTGAGGCTGAAATTCAGCAATACTGAGTGGACAGGTCCACTGTCTAGCCAGCTATAGAATTCAACAGTACCAGTCGGGGACAGGGAGACAGTTTGTGCAGCCATGTAGAAATAAATGGTTTAAACCATGACAGAGAAGTGGGGGTGTTCGTTTCATTTGAAAGCTTTTATTTTCATATTTACCACTGGATTTTAAACAAATAGGAGAATGGTTAAATTAGCATTATTTAGAGACCACCCGAAAGTTGGACTTTTGTTGCATTTAGGGCAGCTAATGTCTCATTCAGGGGAGCTGAGTCCCCCCTGGCTCCCCCGTAATTCGCACCCTGGCCCCTAGTCTCACTCCCTATACACATACACACTGAAATATATAAATGTGCTTGTGTTTCAGTGTACTGGTGATGGCTATACTTTAGTTAATCATTATACTGAACATAATTAACACCTCTGTGGCCTGCTATATAGTTATCCTCCTATGTAAGTTGCCATATATCAGGAGTGAACAACTCAATCAGGCCCTTGAGCTCTGCAGTCCTGCTTTCTTTTCTCCCTGGCACTTGCTGTTACTGCTGTGGTGGTTTTACGAGGTAGAAAATCAGCAGGACTGAGGCCCTTGAGGACTCGGCTGGAGTTGTGCAGCCCATGCTATATTGACCATCCTTGTCATGTGATGTGTATATTTACTGTGTGTTTCCTGTCTGTCTCTGTAGGTACGTTCAGCCCCGTGACGCTGACAGTGTTCTTTGTGCTGTACTTCCTGTTGTCGTGCTGGACATACGGCGTGTCGGTGCCCAGTGGCCTCTTTGTGCCCTCGCTGCTCTGTGGCGCCGCTTTTGGACGCCTGGTGGCCAACCTCCTCAAAATGTAAGGCCAACGTTCTGATAATGTTCTAGAAATGTTTGGGCAATGTTCTCACAATAAAATGTTCTCGTAATGTAAACCCAACATTTGGATAATCTGTACTCAAATACGTAAGCCCAACCATCTCATAGCAAAATGTCCATGAATGGTAATGGTTGTATATCAGAGTCATTGTATAGACACACACATATAGCTACAGTTGAAGTCGGAAGTTTACATACACCTTAGCCAAATACATTTAAACTCAGTTTTTTCACAATTCCTGACATTTAATCCTAGTAAAAATCACTACTTTATTTTAAGAATGTGAAATAATAGTACAGCTTTTATTTCTTTCATCACATTCCCAGTGGGTCAGAAGTTTACATACACTCAATTAGTATTTGGTAGCATTGCCTTTAAATTGTTTAACTTGGGTCAAACGTTTTGGGTAGCCTTCCACAAGCTTCCCAGAATTTGGGTGAATTTTGGCCCATTCCTCCTGACAGAGCTGGTGTTACTGAGTCAGGTTTGTAGGCCTCCTTGCTCGCACACGTGTTTTCAGTTCTGCCCACACATTTTCTATAGGATTGAGGTCAGGGCCTTGTGATGGCCACTCCAATACCTTGACTTTGTTGTCCTTAAGCCATTTTGCCACAACTTTGGAAGTATGCTTGGGGTCATTGTCCATTTGGAAGACCCATTTGCGACCAAGCTTTAACTTCCTGACTGATGTCTTGAGATGTTGCTTCAATATATCCACCACATTTTCCTTCCTCATGATGCCATTTATTTTGTGAAGGGCACCAGTCCCTCCTGTAGCAAATAAAAACCCACAGCATGATGCTGCCACCCCGTGCTTCACGGTTGGGATGGTGTTCTTTGGATTGCAAGCTCCCCCTTTTTCCTCCAAACATAACGATGGTCATTATGGCCAAACAGTTCTATTTTTGTTTCATCAGACCATAGGACATTTCTCCAAAAAGTACTATCTTTGTCCCCATGTGCAGTTGCAAACCGTAGCCTGGCTTTTTTATGGCGGTTTTGGAGCAGTGGCTTCTTCCTTGCTGAGCGGCCTTTCAGGTTATGTCGATATAGGACTCGTTTTACTGTGGATATAGATACTTTTGTACCTGTTTCCTCCAGCATCTACACAAGGTCCTTTGCTGTTGTTCTGGGATTGATTTGCACTTTTCGCACCAATGTACGTTCATCTCTAGGAGACAGAACGCGTCTCCTTCCTGAGCGGTATGACGGCTGCATTGGTCCCATGGTGTTTATACTTGCGTACTATTGTTTGTACAGATGAACGTGGTACCTTCAGGCGTTTGGAAATTGCTCCAAAGGATGGACCAGACTTGTGGAGGTCTAAAAACAATTCTGAGGTCTTGGCTGATTGCTTTTGATTTTCCCATGATGTCAAGCAAAGAGGCACTGAGTTTGAAGGTAGGCCTTGAAATACATCCACAGGTACACCTCCAATTGACTCAAATGATGTAAATTAGCCTATCAGAAGCTTCTAAAGCCATGACATCATTTTCTGGAATTTTCCAATCTGTTTAAAGGCACAGTCAACTTAGTGTATGTAAACTTCTGACCCACTTGAATTGTGATACAGTGAATTATAAGTGAAATAATGTCTGTAAACAATTGTTGGAAAAATTACTTGTGTCATGCACAAAGTAGATGTCCTAACCGACTTGCCAAAACTTTAGTTTGTTAACAAGAAATTTGTGGGGTGGTTGAAAAACGAGTTTTAATGACTCCAACCTAAGTGTATGTAAACTTCTGACTTCAACTGTGTATATATATATATGCTCTGGTTTATATGATTTGAAATGTGTTGGTTTGGAAATCTCCCACCTACTTTCCAAAGCCCGAGTTTTTTTGAAGTGTAGCTGGGGCTCTTCTCATGGAGTTTCTATCTCTTGAAAACTGAAAAATGCTTACAAAGCTACTTTTTAGCATTGACGTACTCGGAGAGGGAATCTGCTAACTGGGCATGTTCTCTCAGCGCTTCTCTCTCCCGCTCTCTGAGTTTTTTTCTCTCTTCAAACCACTTCTACTTCTTCCTCTGCTTTGTCAGACTCAGGCCTTTTCAGTTCTGCTCAACTGCAAGTAATGACTGCTGTGTGTCACACTAGGATGTCTGTGGGAGAGAGTTATGTTAGCAGGCAGCTTATTCCGTTTGGACTGTATGTGCCAGGACAAAACTTTGTAACATAGTTGAGGGAAGATCCCACACACTGCATTTATTGCTTCATATCACATGTTAACTGTCCTTGAGCAGTCTGTCTCACGTCAGATAGCACGACTTGAGTGTGGGTGTAATGCCACCTGTTGGAAGACAATGCAAGCAGTCTTATCAAAACATGATTATTATGCTGATTTATAGTTATTGGTTCATGGATTAGTTTTGTGTTTCTAGGAACAAGAAAATAATGAAATTTGAGTTGACACTGCTAGCAGTAAGCCTTAGTCTTCTGCATGCTTTTATGCTCACTTCCTGTTTTGTTGCCACAGCAACCTGGGGATGGACATCTACTCCGGGACCTTCGCTCTGATTGGAGCAGCCGCCTTCCTGGGAGGCGTGGTCCGGATGACCATCAGCTTGACTGTCATTCTCATCGAATCAACCAATGAGATCACCTACGGCTTGCCCATTATGATAACCCTCATGGTAAAGTACACGTCATTGATTTGAACTTACATTCACAATTTAGTGCACTTGCGTCAGTGTTGGTGCTTACAGGATGGTGTGCGTGTGTGTGTGCGCTCAGGTGGCCAAGTGGACGGGGGATTTCTTCAATAAGGGCATCTATGACATCCACATTCATCTGAGAGGAGTGCCAATGCTGGAGTGGGAAACAGAGGTGGAGATGGACAAGTAAGAAAATAATACTACATTTATGATAGTAAAGATCAGTGGTCATTAAACAGACACTTGTATCCAAATGAACTTACAGCTAACACATTTATCTTCAGTATACTCATACAGTATGCTGAATATACAGTATGTGGCCCTTTTAGAACTTTAGCCAACCGTGTAATCTGCTGCTGTGTTCAATTCCAATTCAAGTCACTCAATTCAGGAAGGGATAACATAAAAAAAAAAAAAAATCTAAATAAACCCTAAATAGCTTCTTCTTTTCAGTTTCTTGAGAAGACCTTGAAAATAGATTACCTTTTTTCAATTAATGAATTTGAATTTCAGTTTTACTTCCTGAATTGAAGGACCCTAACCCTGGCACGTATGTGTCTCTCGTTTGTCCCCCAGACTGACAGCCAGTGACATCATGGAGCCCAACCTGACGTACGTGTACCCCCACACGCGCATCCAGTCCCTGGTGAGCATCCTGCGCACCACCGTCTACCACGCCTTCCCCGTGGTCACCGAGAACAGGGACAACGAGCACGAGTTCATGAAGGGCAACATCCTCATCAGCAACAACATTCGCTTCAAGGTAGGAGCCAGGGCCACGTGCAGATAGAAATGTCATGAATAGAGCCGACATGATTTCTTATTCTAGATGTTAGAGAGGTATGTTTGTTCTACATAACCTATTTCTATCTCAACCTTTCACAATGTTTTGTCCTGGGGTGTATTCATTTGTCGCAGACCGTAGCAAAACGTTTGGCCTGTTGCAAAACACATTGCAATGGAAACCGTTTACTGAACCAAACGGAAGCAAACAGTGGGGGGACCTACCTGAATTTGTCCAAAAGAAACTAGCTTTCATTGCAAAACGTTTTCCGTTGTTCCCATTGCAAAACGTTTTGCAACAGACCAAACGTATTCACTAATGAAAACACCCCTGCTGAAGGTTCCCTAGCCATAACATCAGCTGCCACCAGGGGGAGTCAGAACTCTGTTATACTGTATAATGCATGGGTTGGTGCCATCTACAGTACCTTAAAGTATTCATACATCTTGACTTATTCCACATTTTGCTGTGTTACAGCCTGAATTCAAAATGGATTAAATCACAATACCCCATTATGACAAAGTTATATGTTTTTTTTTAATGTTTGCAAATGTATTGAAAATGAAATACAGAAATTTAATTTACATAAGTATTCACACCCCTGAGTCAATACTTTGTAGAAGCACCGTTGGCAGCGATTACAGCTTTGAGTCGTCGTGGGTATGTCTGTATCAGCTTTGCACATCTGGAATTGGGGATTGTCTCCCATTCTTCCTTGCAGATTTTCTCAAGCTCTGTTAAGTTACATGGGGAGTGGCAGTGAGCAGCAATATTTAAGTCTTTCCACAGATTTTAAATGGGATTCAAGTCTGGGCTTTGTCTGGGCCACTCATGGACTTTCACATTCTTGTTTTAAAGCTTTCCAGCGTTGCTTTGGCTATATGCTTGGGGTCATTGTCCTGTTGGAAAGTAAATCTTTGCCCCAGTCTAAGGTCGTTTGCTCTCTGAAGCAGGTTCTCATCAGGGATTTACCTGTATTTGTCTCCATTGTTCCCTCTATCATTTTACATTTACATTTTAGTCATTTAGCAGACGCTCTTATCCAGAGCGACTTACAGTTAGTGCATTCTATCCTTACCAGTCTCACAGTCCCTGCCACTGAAAAGCATCCCTATAGCACGATGCTGCCACCACCATGCTTCACGGTAGGGATGGTGTTAGACGGGTGATGAGCTGTGCCTGGTTTTCTACAGACATAATGCTTTTCATTCAGGCCAAATAGTAAACTGTTTGTCTCATCAGACCACAAAATATTTTGTCTTATGATCTCAAGAGTCTTTCACGTGCCTTTTTGCAAACTCCAGGTGTGCTGTCATGTGCCTTTTTCTCAGGAGTGGCTTCTGTCTGGCCACTCTCCCATAAAGCCCAGATTGGTGAAGTGCTGTAGAGACTGTTGTCCTTCTGGCAGGTTCTCCCATCTCAGCCAAGGAACTCTGTAGTTCTGTCAGTGGTGTGGTTATTTGGTTTCTTGGTCACCTCCCTGACCAAAGTCCTTCTTGCCCGGTTGCTCAGTTTGGTCGGACGGCCAGGTCTAGGCAGGGTCTGGGTAGTTCCATATTTTTTCAATTTCCCAATGATGAAGACCATTACGCTCTTGGAAGCTTTCAACACTCTAGAAATTGGTTTATACCCTTCCCCAGATATATGCCTCATCACAATTCTATCTGGGAGATCTACAGACTGTTCCTTGAACCTAATGGTATAGTTTCTGCTCTGACATGCACTGTCAACTGTGGGACCTTATATAGAAAGGTGTGTTTCTTTCTAACTCATGTCCAAGCAATAGAATTGGCCACAGGTGGACTCCAATCAAGGATGATCTATTGGTTGCGCCTGAGCTAAATTTGGAGTGGCATACCAAAGGAGTGTGAATACTTATGTAAATTAGATATCTGTATTTCATTCTCAATACATTTGCAAACATTTCTAAAAACATGTTTTTACTTTGTTATTATGGGGTATTGTGTGTAGATGGGTGAGAATTTTTTTTATTTTATCCATTTTGAATTCAGACTGTAACACAACAAAATGTGGAATAAGTCAAAGGATATGAATACTTTCTGAAGGCACTGTATAGGCTTCTCTTTGGCCCTGTTTCCAATAGTTAGACAATGTAGGTTATCCTTCCTTTCCTCCTTGTAGTGTTGTTACTGTAAAGCACTTTGTGACATGTGACACTGATTTGACACGATTGGATAGACAACAACAAACTTTCTATTTCTATGTTAGGGCAGTGATTACATCAAGGGAATGTAGGAAACTGGGATGCACAGACAGTGAGTTGTTTATGGTCTCTTACTGTAAGAATCATTACATTATATGAACAGGAAGGTGTGTGTATGGAGCATGTGTGTACACGGTAGCTTAGTGGTTAGAGCATTGGGCCAGTAACCAAAAGGTAGCTAGTTTGAATCCCCGAGCCGACAAGGTGAAAAATATGTCTGTGTCCACGAGCAAGGCACTTAACCCTAACTGTTGATAAAACTGACCCTGGCCATGACCCCACTGCCCGAGGGTGTATACATAATACACATTTCCATTTCACAAACGTGTATAATACACACTATAAGCACCACCAAATTATTTTTTATTATTTTCTGTGCGCACGTGTGTAACCCTGCCCTCTCCCCCCCTCAGAAAGCGAGCGTGCTGACGCGGGCAGGGGAACAGCGGCGGCGCTGCCAGTCCATGAAGTCGTACCCGTCCAGCGAGCTGCGCAACGTGTGTGACGACCAAGCGGTGGCCGTGGTGCCCGCCTTGGAGGAGGGCCAGGACATGCTACAGCAGATGCTGGAGAGAAGGTGAGCCCCCACGTACGCACACGCACCTTCATTCTCACCCCTGAGTTGACCCCATCCCATTTTTTACAATACCAACCATGTGACCAACCCTGTAACTTTGACTTGGATCAAATGTGTGTTTTGAGTCCCTCATTCTTCTGAAATGTATTAGTATAAACATTGCACACATTGTAATCAATAGATTCACTGTGTAGGAGTCATGATGGTAATGTAGATATTGAGGACAAACGCTTGAATCCAATTCAAGACTTTAATTAACGGCATACACGTAGCATACAAAGTCATCATACATGAGTCTCAACCGGCCTTTTATACTTTCAACTTACATAACATTTACATTCTTATTGGTCAGTACAAAAACATCAGGTCAGTTATATGATCAGCATGGCTGCGTTTACCCAGGCAGCCCAATTTTTATATTTCTTCCACCAATTGGTCTTTTGACCAATCACATCATATCTTTTCACATCAGATCTTTTTCAGAGCTGATTTGATTTGAACAAAATACCAATTAGTGAAAAAAAAATCAGAATTGGTCTGCCTGTGTAAACGCAGCATTTGGAAACATATGGGGCCAATATGGAAACATATTGCAACCATCGATGGTGACCAGATTATCGCCAGCTGATCTCTCATGATCTCTCGCGATAAATTCACTGGCACAGCTAATCTCAATTGCAACCATTATTGGTCACCTCATTACCGCTCCGTTTCCAATTCATGCAGTCCATTAAAGTCTCAGGAGGCAGCTTTTGGGGCGACCTGACCAAATTCACGTAGAAATGGGAGTTATAGATTGAAAGCAAGTCTGAGAAGCGTATATCTGTTTTATGTGCGCTATTTCTATTCATACTTTTTAATTATATTATGTGAGATAAACATTTGTAAATAAATGATTTGTAATTATTTTTACCCCCCTTAAAACATATATTTTTTTTTGTTCTAACATTACTGTCCGCAATACAACAACAAAAATACTTAAATACATGTAATTTTGTTATTGAAACATTTAATTTAAATACTGTAGAATTCCGTTAATTCCTATGGAGGACTGCTTCTTCTGAGGAGTGCCAATATGTCTGACCGGTGACTTCACAGCCTCTCATTGGCCAATACATAGTATCAGCAATCCAGGGTTTATAAACATAATTGGTTAACACAGTGGTATATGCGAAGTTCAGCTTGTTCGTTGCAATGAACCCATGGCTTCTAGGTCTTAATATGGATCAGGGTTCCCCAACTGGCAGCGAGTGGTTTTATTTGGCCCTCAAAGTTTTCTGAGCAAAAAACTAATCAAACATGTTTTATGTTTTATCGTTGGACAGGAAATCAGCTCCAGGTGATTTTTTTATTTTGTAAATCTGCTCCCAAGTATTCCCACACGTAATAGAGACGTGATCATATACAAATGGGGCATGTACTCTACAAGGTGTCAAAATTGTCCAAATAGATACGCAAGGTAGATGGATTATTTTAAATATGTTATTGGACCATAAACAGATATGGCTCATTAACCTTTATGGACCAAATAATGATGATCCACACTTCTTTGACAATATATATAATAAATGATCAACCCTGCAAGCAATTCAAGACAATATTAGTATGGTGGGGGATTATGATACTGTTTTAAATAGCTCAATGGACCGTAAAGGAAATCACACCACGAACAATTTGATGTTGATGGGGGACAAAATGCGGTCGGACCATCATATTATTGGCATATACATTACTCTTACTGAATTTCCATGTGGGCGAGGATATTGGAAATGTAATCAAAGCCTATTGGATGATAATTTATTTTTAACTAGGACAAAGGAATTTATAACAGATTTATTCCGACATAACATAGGTACAGCAAATCCCCTTATTGTATGGGACACTTTTAAATGTGCCTTTAGAGGCCATGCAATTCAGTACTCATCTCGAAAAAACAAAAGCAATTTAAGTCAAAAGAGTTTATACTAACAAAGGAAATAGAAGGTCTAACAGAATAGATAGATGGCAATAAAAACTGTAACATAGAGGCTCAGAATAAATTAGAGGAAAAAAAAGAAATTGAGAAACTTATTCAAGAAAGATCAAGTGTAATATATTATAAAAATAAAGCAAACTGGATGGAATATGGGGAAAAATGCACCAAATTATTTTTTAATCTTCAACATAGGAATGCTATCAAAAATAATTTAATGAAACTGGTTACAATTGACGGAGTCACCCATGATTCACCAAATGATATTTTGAAGGAGGAAACAAAGTACTTTAAGCATATGTTTTTGTTTCAGTCGCCTCCATCTCCTCTAACTGAAGCTAATTGTAGAGATGTTTTTCTATTGATAATGTCAAATGAACAGCCATACAGAAAGACTCATGTGAAGGTGAAATTACAGAGGAGGAACATCTGAATGCAATTAAAGACTTAAGTCCGGGAAAACTCCAGGGTTGGATGGCATACCAGTCGAGGTATACCAAACCTTTTTTTTATATACTAAGAGGACCGTTATTAGCATGTTTTAACCACTCCTATGTAAGTGGTAGATTATCAGACACTCAAGAAGAAGGTCTGATTTCATTATTACTGAAACAGGATACAAGTGGAAAATATAAAGATCCAGTCCATAAAAAATTTTTGAGACCCCTTACACTTCAGTGTTGTGATGCTAAAATTCTAGCAAAATGTATAGCGCATAGAATCAAAAAGGTATTGGCGGACATTATTCATTCTAATCAGACAGGTTTTTTTTACATGGAAGATACATTGGAGATAATATAAGGCAAGTACTGGAAACAATAGAACACTATGGAAAATCTGGGAAACCAGGCCTGCTATTCATAGCAGACATCGAAAAGGCATTTGATAAAGTACGACTGGGGTTTATATATAAATGCCTGGAGCATTTCAATTTTGGAGAATCTCTTATAAAATGGGTCAAAATCATGTATAGTAACCCTAGGTGTAAAATAGTAAATAATGGCTATTTCTCAGAAAGTTTTAAAACTGTCAAGAGGAGTGAAATAAGGTTGTCCACTATCGGCATATCTATTTATTATGGCCATCGAGATGTTAGCTTTTTTTTTTTTTTTTTTTTTTTGTCATTTAGCAGATGCTCTTCTCCAGAGCGACTTACATGAGCTATTAAAATCAGATCCAACAATAATATCAAGGGATTAGAAATCCAGGGCTTAAAAACAAAGGCGTCATTGTATGCTGATGATTCATGTTTTCTTTTAAATCCACAACTAGAATCCCTCCACAGCCTCATAGAGGATCTAGATACATTTTCTAACCTCTCTGGATTACAACCAAATTATGACAAATGTACTATATTACGTATTGGATCACTAAAAACTAAACATTTTACATTACCATGTAGTTTACCAATAAAATGGTCTGATGGTGATGTGGATATACTCAGAATACATATCCCAAAGGAAATAAATGATCTCACTCCAATAAATTGTAATAGAAAGTTAGCAAAAATAGATAAGATCTTGCTACCATGAAAAGGTAAATACCTGTCAATTTGTGGAAAAATCACCCTGATTAACTCTTTAGTATTATCCCAGTTTACCTATTTGCTTATGGTCTTGCCTACGCCTAGTGAACAGTTTTTTAAATTATATGAGAAAAAAATATTCCATTTTATTTGGAACGGCAAGCCAGACAAAATTAAACGGGCCTATTTATATAATGAATATGAATTCGGAGGACAGAAATTATTAAATATTAAAGCATTAGACCTATCACTAAAAGCTTCAGTCATACAAAAGTTATACTTAAATCCGAACTGGTTCTCTAGCAAATTAATAAGATTGTCTCACCCAATGTTCAAGAATGGCCTTTTTCCCTTTATTCAGATTACAACCTCTCACTTTCAGTTATTTGAAAAGGAAATCATCTCCCAAATATCACTATTTCTAAAACAAGCCATAGAAAGTTGGTTGCAATTTCAATTTAATCCTCCAGAAACGACAGAACAAATACTGCAACAAATATTGTGGTTAAACTCAAATAGACTAATTGACAAAAAAACTTTTTTTTTTTTTTTTACAGAATGTTTAAAAAAGGTATAATCTTCGTAAATGATATCATCGGTAGGACTGGTGGAGTTATGTTGCACATGCAGCTAACAAAAACATATGGAAATGTCTGTTCTACCCAAAATTACAACCAAATAATTGCAGCCTTACAGCAAAAATGGAAGAGGAAAGTGGAAGGGGGAGAAAGTAAGGAACTTGTCTGTCGGCCTTGCATTAAAGAACATAATTGGTTAAACTGTGATAAATAAAAAAGTATACCAGTTTCATTTAAGGACCAAAGTATTGACAGCCTTCCCATATAGATTGCAAAATAGTGGGGAAGAGATTTTTGACATACCGATCCCATGGCATAGTGTTTATGAACTGATACGCAAAACGACACCGGATTCAAAACTTAGTCTTTCAATTTAAATTATTATATAACATTTTTGCTACCAATAGAATGTTATTTATATGGGGGATATTTGCTGCGAAGAGATAAAATAATTAGATCATTTGTTTTGGTACTGTCCATTTGTAGTACTGTCCATTTGTAGCTTGGAAAGTTCTTTGGTCTTGGCCATGGTGGAGAGTTTGGAATCTGATTGATTGATCGCTTCTGTGGACAGGTGTCTTTTATACAGGTAACAAGCTGAGATTAGGAGCACTCCCTTTAAGAGTGTGCTCCTAATCTCAGCTCGTTACCTGTATAAAAGACACCTGGGAGCCAGAAATCTTTCTGATTGAGAGGGGGTCAAATACTTACTTTCCTCATTAAAATGTAAATCAATTTATAACATTTTTGACATGCGTTTTTCTGGATTTTTTTGTTGTTATTCTGTCCCTCACTGTTCAAATAAACATACCATTAAAATTATAGACTGATCATGTCTTTGTCAGTGGGCAAACGTACAAAATCAGCAGGGGATACTTTTTTCCATATATATATATATATATATATATATATATATATATATA